TTCCAGAGACAGAGTCCATGCTTCCCAATCCACCAGAAGGCAGAGTTCTTTCCCCTCATCTGATGGAGGCTGAGCCCCTTGAAATCATGTGAAGAAAAGGCCTTGACTTTAGAAGTAGTAGCATTTCCTTAGTGTAGATGAATTAAGATATTTACTTAATTCCTAGTCATGATAGGTTCAGGCACTATTTCCACCCTCTCCCCAATCTCTGGCTCTACAGTGCTCAGCCTTCTGGGTGGAGACAAAGTCATTTGTCTAGTGCTCAGCCGCGGCACCAGCGCTTGTCCCTCAAGGATGTTGGTGTGTGTGTGTGTGTGTGCGTGCGCACACGCGTGTGTGCATTTGTGTGTATGTGTATTTGTGTATGTGTGTGCACGTGTTGTTCAAGTGTCTTCCCGACAATGTGGAAAACTGGCAGATACCCGTTTAGCTGTTGTATTGGTATCTGGCTCCACAAGGCAATGCTTCATTGCTTTGAAAAAATAAATAAATAAATAAACAAACAAATAAATAAATAAAGTGAGAACCAGAAATGGTTTCACAAAAAACTATGTAAGAATTGCACATGGGACTCCTTTCATTCTCTCTCACTAGACTGGTGGGGAGGGGGGAGGGGACCAGAGGAGTTGGGGCAAGAGGCTGAAATAGAGAGAGCTGCTTAGGGAAGGGGACAGAGCCCCCAACAGTTGCAGGACACTTCCTTCCCTCATCGCCTTCCTTTATGTCTCCTCAGCTGTATTGCTGGAGAAGCTGGTGGTGGTGACCTTGAGCCTCACCCCCCCGCCTCTGGCCGGGGCTTGCTTCAGTGGTGCGCTGGCTAACATGAGGGCGGGGTTCTCCGCAGAGAGGGAAGACAGGGTGACAGCACCCCACATCCAGCCGGAGAACTTTGATTTGGTTGGGAAACAATGTGAGAAAAAATTTTACTTTTATCTTCTTCCACAGTAGATCTTCAAGACATGGGCCTCTCCATTGGTCATTGTGAGTGGTTGAACTGGACACTTCTTTCCATAACATGGGAACAGACACACAGGAAGTCAAAACATTCCCTTAAGGCCCTGTGCTTACACTCTCTCCAGACCAGAGCCATATCTTCAAAATCAGAACTGGCCTGGACTCTATCTGCAAGTTTTTAGCTCCCCTGCCGCTGAAAGAGGTCCTTCTAAAACCAGGTTGCCCTTTCTCTTGATCTCTTTGCTAAACTGCTTCTAACTCTTAGATGATGATATTTCAATTCTTCGGGTTCTGTAGGGATGGAGAGGCTGTCATCTTCCTTAGCAACAAGTATGATTCTGGTGTGATGAGGCTAAAATGCTGTCAGGGATCTTTATGCCTAATTCAAGTTCTTGTTCTATTCCATGGCCTTTAGGAGGGACGGGCCTCTGTAAAACAACCATCACCCTTTTGACGACTTCCAAACTCCTCCTCTTCAGGTGCTTATTTCTCAGAAAGTCATTGCTTTGGCAGAGAGGCACACTTCTCCCGTGGTGGCCGGACTATGCCCAGTGCAGGCTCAGCAGGATTCCCGAGGAGATGGTTGTGTGCAAGTGACAGGCAGCTTCACTCCAAACAAGCTCCTGAAATTTGAGAGCAGAGCCCAGAGGAGAATAAGACTGAGTAAGGAAGTCTCGTTCCTTTGTCCTTGGATTGCCCAGTCAGAGGGATGTCTATCAGACTAGAAGCTGAGGAAGGGACTGGAACTAATAGCTTCTGAAGCAAAGCAGAGAAAAATTCATGAATCAAGCCAAAATCTAGGGGGAAAGTCTTCTCTTTTTACTTCCAGACCCAAAAGAATCTTCTAGGAACAGGCAGAAAGGAGACAGCTGGAAACCTCTCTGCTTAACATAGCCATGCACACGAATGATCAGTAACAGACCAAGATCTGGACATGAAAGAGTCTGGGCTCTTCGGAAGAAAATACAAACAAAGTTCACCAAAAACCAGAACTTAAGCTGAACTTCTCCAAGTCCTCTGGTCCTCACTCAGCATGGTCTGCTTTTCTCCTGCTGCCCCAAGGTTTTCAGAAGATTTGACCACTTTGCTTTTCAAGGTCATGGAAAAAGTTCTACATCACCCAGTATACAGTGGATGAGGCTCATTGATTTCACAACTGATTTTATTAGTCTGTGATGATGACAGGCATCAAATGTCCATCCTGCATGAGTCCAGCATGAGGTCGGGTTCAGAAAGACACTTGACTGGGCGCTGTCAGCGGAGGCTCCTTTCCTTCACAGCCGCACCGGGCAAAGTGCCCTCACAGCTGACACTGTTCTGTGGGGCAGGGAGGACGGCTAGCTTGTCTTCTGGACAGAGTTGACTATAAAGGAGAAGGGAGCCTTTGGGTGTAAGTGCTGAAAAACAAGGGGACCGTACTTAGGCAGGACCCTAGGAGTAGCTGGAACAAGCCAGCCTGTAGCCCATGCTGCTGGCCAATGAGATGTGGCGATGCTGATGAAAAGTCCAAAAGGAAAAAAAATAGAACGCAGCATGAAAAGGGTGTGTGTGTGTGTGTGTGTGTGTGTGTGTGTGTTAATTAAGATTCCAAATTTTATCTAGGGATCAAGTGAACAGCAAGAACCAGATATCAATCCAAAAGGACTCCCCTCTCTATCATAACTAACATCTTAGTGGCACAGTGGCAGGCATTTTGGGAAACCAGACAAAGGGTAACCCCTAAACCTAGCGTCTAGAAGACCTTGATGGCACCGAGAAGGAGCCAAGAAAGCTTGGATGAGTTGGGCTCAGAGAAACAGGAAGAAATGCTTTTGTTAGTTTCTGGCCCATTTCTCCACATTTTCATGAATCAGTTCATGAAAACAAAACTCATCTTCACTGAGGAATGGAATTCCCCAATTTAAATTTCTAGTTTGCTTATATAAGTGCCAAGAAAGGCTGAGAGTACATGGGTCTGGGAGAGATCCAGTGGGTAAGATCCAAATGAACGGCTGGGTCCTGTTTTCCCCAAGTGAGTCCCTTTTTGACCATCACTGCTGACATCTATTCAAAGGGCAGCATCAGTAGGGTGATGCAAACTGGCATAAGAGAAGCTCCCACAAAATCTCTGGTTCCACCACCCCTGTGAGCCCCTGATGCTGTGTCTCTTGTCCTGGTCCACTCCACAGCTGCCACACACACCACGGGAGTCTGCGGGAAGTCCTGCCCCAGAGTGAAGGAAAGATGGAGAGATGAGCAAGACAGAGCTGACTTTTGGATGGACAAGCATTTTACCTGGTTGCCTCTTTCTAGTCCCTGCTGTCTGAGTTTGGGTAGAGCAGTTGCCAGAGCCAGGATGTCCTTCCCCTCCTGCTAGCCCAACTCTCCTCCTATCCTCTTGGTCAGTTTATACTTTCCTGAAAAACCACTGAGCAAAACTTGTGCCGTGGGAGTGAAAAGTCAGCCACCTCTCCTCTCCTCCAGGGGATGCGGAGGCTAGCGCAGTGAGGAGAGAGGCCGGTCAGAATGCCTCACGACCCCTCACAGTAAGGGCTGTCCCTAGAGAAATACCCAAACAGAGAACTGGTGCAGAGTAGATGGAGTGACGATTGAAGTGAGCTATGGCCTGGTCTCTCAAATGAGATGTAGTACAAATATGTCTGTCATAGTTTTGGGAAAATTGAGGGAAATGGAAGCAAACACAAGATATGCAAAACAGTAATGTCCAAACCTGTCGGTGGGTAGCAGAATATGATTTACACTGGTGATACCCTTGCTCATTGTACAAATTAAAAAAAAAAGCCTCCCTTCCCCCAACCACATATAGAAAAGCACTTAAGAGTTCAAAGGTAAAGCTTGTCACACTCCAAATACAAAATGATTTACTTACATGCAGCAAAATATACAAGAGGTGAATTCAAAAACAAACTTAATTCATTATATTCGCTTGGCACAATTGCAATTCAATTTTAAAAAAATAATTGTAAAATACTGAAACTGACCTGAATTCAAGTATAACGGTTTCTTCAACAGAAACATTATCAATGCAATAAAACATTACACGGAATATATAGAAGCAAAACACCTTCTTGAGTTTTTCCTTAAATTTCTGTGTTTTTTAAAATACAGTTTTAATGCCAACAAGACTCACAATTGTATTTTTAAAATGAATATTATTGCATTGTTTTTGCATATCTTGTGGGACAGAAAATGCAAAGTTACTGATTCCTGTTTCAGAAGCAGAGACAGTGATTTGTTTTTGCTCTCAAATGGCCCTGGATTCAGATCCCCCCAGTTAACCCAGAAATGGGGCGCTGCACACTCACTGGGCGCAAGGCCCCCGCGTGGGCGCACGTACACACGGCCGACACACGCAAACAGACAACCCACTACATGCGGATCACACTCAGAGACTCTCGAACACGCTTCCTCTCTTCCGGCCACCCATACACCCAGCGTGGGAGAGAACCCCTCAGTCACCCATCTGTGCAAGCCCCTGTGAAGTGCATTGCTGATTACCTTTAAATTATAAAAGCAATCAAAAACCATGTTTACTACCTATGGAAACCATACAAATTACTGGGCATACACAACGTCTGGTAACACTCTCCCACAGGGACTGCAAGGACCCTCTGTAGGAAAAGGAAACCACACCCGTTTAATAACAGGATCAAACCAAACCCGATTTACATTTGCAAGAGTGAAAACAGTAAGGTGGTGGCTACTGAACTTCGTAAGCACTCCTCTTCCTCCCCTCCTCCTGGGAAAATAAAATAAAAAACCCAAAAACGACAAAATGAAAACTGCAACATGCTGTCAAGAGAAATGTCAAACCACAGAACAAAGGAGCGCTCAGCAGAACCCAGCTCCTCCTTGCGTTGTCCAGTGCTGGCTGCCCCTGCCTGCGGGCCTCGCCGCTCCCCTCGCCCCCTCCGCTGCAGGCTGCGGGCTGGGCTGCTGGGCTGGGGCTGGGGGCCAGTGAGGGGAAGGTGCTCCTCACACAGGCGGGCAGCAGGCGGCTGGAGGTGGGGGTGGGGCAGCTGCCTCTTGGCCAAGTGCCCTCCCTCCTGGCTCCCAGCTCCTGGCCTCCTGCTGCCTGCTCTTCCCTCTCTGGTGGGGGTCGGGGGTGGGAGTCATGCCTGCCTCCTTCTGCAGATCCACAGGGCCCTGGCTCTATGGGGACAGTGAGGCTCGTACACAATATGTGCAAAATGATTTTTGTACAAGCAAAGTTGAAAGACACCCGTTTGACAAAGGTCCTTTTCGGTGGGGGCTACCACAGGAAGCTGAGGGTCTCTTTTGTGCCCAAGGTGAAGGCTGGTTCCTGGCACAGGGCTTGCAAAACCACAGGAGAGCAGGCGGCCTTCTCTCACTCCTTCCCTGACCCTTCCTCCTCCTCCTCCTCCTGCTCCACCTTCTCCTCCTCCTCCCCTCACCACTCTACCTCCTTGGACACAAACTGGGGTTGCTGCTTTTCTTCCCCCCAAAAAGCTGACTCTCCACACCACCCAACTCTGTGTCTTGTCCCAACGAAATGAATGAAGACGCTGTTCCGTTAACTCCAGGTCACGAGAACAGTGAGGCACTTCTGAAACGAACCCTTTAGGAACATTGAGACAAATAAAAAACCCATCATCTCCCAGCCCAGCTCCTACAGGCTGCTGACGTAGGCTCTGCTGTCCTGCAGCTCCTCCTCGCTCCTCTGAGGCTCCTGGCTGGGCCCACAGGGCCCGGGCTCCTCGCCCCCTGCTCTGTCCTGCCCCTGGTCCCTGCAGTTAACAAAAGGTAATAGGGTGCCGTTGGGGCTCTGCTGGGCGCCCCCACTGAGGATGTTGTCTGCAGCGTTCTCCATCTCCTCGATGGTCATGTCGCAGGCGTCAGCCAGCTCCTGGGTTGTGACCTCGATAAACTTGGGATCTTGGGCAAACTGCCCCAGTCCTTCCGAAATCAAGACCTGAAGGGGGGAGGGCCATGAGGAAAAACCAAAGAGGAACATTATTCCTGCAGCTCAACTCTTCTGTTTAGGTTTAGAGCAAAGGACTTCTGACTGGAAACTTCAGGAGTGTGTGCGTGCGTCTGCGTGCGTGTGTGAGTGCGTGAGTGTGTGGTGGGTGCGCAGAGGAAAGGAGTGAGATTCAGGATGTACAGGCTGGCGGAGAGAGCTTTGGGCTGGGGTACTCAACAACTGTTACAAATACATGAAAACTTGGCTCACTGAGGGACTGCAGGGGGGAGTCTCCCAGCAGAGGGTTCTACCCTCTGCCCTTGTCTTTTCTCCTCCCTGGCGTCCCACATCATTCTCTCCGAGAAACCTTCGTTCTCTTTTGGTGAAACCGTTTTGCCCACTGCCCGTCGCCTGTCTGTGGGTGCGGACCCTGAGTACGACGTGTGCAAGCTCCGCGCTTGGCCCTGCTTCCTCTTCTGCCTCTGCTGGGAAGGGCCAGTGGGCAAAGCCAAAGCTCCTCCCCGCTCCCTAGAGGCTGCTTCAGTGACCGGTGTGGGGAGTCACCCCGTGGGCCAGTGGGCAGGGGAAGCAGTGGAGGGACGCACGGAACACTTTTCTCCAAGTTCTGTTAGCCCTGCTCCCCCCCACTTACTCTTTATCTTGCGTAATGTTTCTTCATCGCTCCACCCTTCTCAACATGCTTAATATCTGTCTTTCCTCACCACCATATGAGCTCATCAGAGCAGAAACCCTGTCCCTTAGAGGTGGCCCCCCACCTAGAACACAGTCTACACATGGCAGGTGCTCAGCGGAGATGTGTGCACTGAATAAGAGGCAACAAAGCCCCTGGAAGCACAGGGCTTTAGAGGTAGAAGGCACTTGGGAAGTCATCTGGTTTCGTTCCCCACCTCCTGCGACAGCCTGACGACTGGACAGGCATCGTCTCTGCTTGCACATGTCAAGTGATGGGGGCTCCCTGTTTCACAGGAAAGCCCTCATTTTGGAAAGATCGCCTTGTGTTAGCTACAGTCTGCCTGTCAGGTTGGTCCAGGTGCACCAGCCCTTCATTTAAGACCTTTTGTCCAGGACCCAAAAGCCTTACAGGATGGAGATGCATGTCAGGGCTTCTTTATTTTAGTCCTCACCCGAAAATGTTTTTATTTTTAGAGTGAGTGGAAGGGAGGGAGAGAGAGAGAGAGAGAAACATTGATATGAGAGAGAAGCATCAATTGATTGCCTCCTATATGCACCCTGACTGGGGAGTGAACCCACAACCCTTTGGTGTATGTGACGACGCGCCAACCGGCCAGCGCGGCATATCACGGCTTCGTTAGTCGTCACCACCTCTCTAGGTTTACTTTCCGAATTCCCTCAACTGGTTCTCATACAAAGTGGTTTCTAGGGACCTTGCCAACCCAGTGATCCTCCTTTGGGACTGTTCCAATTTGCCAGAGGTGGCCTGAGATCTGGTGCCAGGATAGCAATTGGTGGTCTGACCAGGGCAGAGCAGGGTGGGCCCGAAGGTGCTCTTGTTCTAGACTAGAGGCTCTCAACCCTGGCTGGGAATTAGAATCATCTAAAGGGTTTTTAAAAACACCCGTTTACTTGGTTATAGGTTTCCAGTCCCCGCAGGTTATTCTATGAGCGACCAGGCTTGGGAGTCGGACCTGACTCTGTGCACACAGGTGCCCATGCTCACAGCCGGGCGGACAGCACGCCTGGTGTGTGGTGAAGCCCCACAGCTTTCTCCGCTTCACTGGCCTGTGGTAGGGACGTGCGCTGTTTCTCCCTCCCCCTGCGCCAGCCCAGCCCCCACAGAAGTCCAGAACTGCCTGCCTGCCACGCCGTCCTGGTCCTGCTGCCGGCTCTGGCAGTGAGGGCCTTTCAGGCCAGGAGACTGACACCCGGTCTACTTGGGAGAGAGCCGGTTACCCCCTTCGTGATCTCCACTCAAAGTGCCCTCTGCCTCGGGCCTTTCCTCCCTCTGTCTGCCATGCTCGGGGTCACTTACTGCTTCCACCAGACTGCTGGCACTGCCGTGGAACTGCCTGCCCCAGGCCCCGGCCTGGCTGGGCACAGTGAGGGACACCGGCCGGGCTCTCCGTGTGGCGCTGCTGCCCCCCTCGCAGGCTGTGGGCTCCCCCGCCCAGGAGCTGCAGTGGACGGATGGGAAGCTGCTGTTGAGTTTCTCGGTGGACTCAGTTCCTTCCAGCCAAAGGGTGGGGATGGGCTGCGGGGGCCAGCCTCGGCTGCTGGGCGTGGCCGGCGGGGTGGCACACGGCCGGGGGAACGTGGTGGGAGAATGGCTTCTCTGGAGGAGGGGGCTCAGGCCCGCCACTGCCAATGCCTGTGGACACACAAGGAGCGTGGGTTACGGGAATGGTCCCAGCTGCCTGGAGCTCATATACCACCATGTCACCCGTCTGAATCCTCCCTCATCAAGACCCAGTGTACACTGCAACCGTCTTAAAACGCATTTCCTGATGATCTCAGTCTGAAGTAACCCTGCCTCCTCTAAATTCCAAAAGTTGTGACAGACTGGAGTAAGGGTCACCTGCCCATCAGCACTGGCCCTGCCCCATCAGCTGTGAATTCTCCCCCTTTGGCTTCCTTGTCAGCTGACTGGAGAGGATGTGCCTGGGTCACGTGTACAACCACACACAGTGCCCACTGTCTCCCTGCCCTGCGGGCTGATGTGAGGTCCAAGTGAAGGAGGGTCTGTGCAAAAGTGCACTGTGCATCCAAAGAGCTAGACAAAACCAGGGCTTATTGTTTCAGTTTTTACAATTAATCTGGCCGTTAATGATGTCTTGCCAATCTTTAGCTCACCTTGTTTTTGAACTACTGTTCAGATCTCACACTGTATTGTGATTGAACTATTTACACGCTGTACCCTCTGCCCCCCTGGTGCGTGAGTGCCCTGAGGGTGGGTCGTGGTCTCCAGGTGAGCTGCCACAACGCCTGCTCTGATGTGCTGCATCCACGGGGCAGTGGCAGCGTGGGGGAGAGCCCAGCCCAAGAGGCAGAGAGAGGGGGCACTGCCATGTGGGTGGGAGGTAGTAGAAAGGCATAAAGGGAGAATGTAAATGAAGAGCAGTTTCTTGCCTTCCAGAATGATCGAACAGATGAGTGAAATAAACTTCCAGAAACCCTTAAAACTGTAACATACAGTGTCCTCCCAGCCTGCCAGCCTTCCCTGGCCACTGCTCTTGATGGTCCCCAGCCTGGGTCCTTGGGCCCTGGAGATAGTATGCATGCGGGCAATGCCACGCAGGCTAAGCAAAACAGTGCATTTCTTTAAGCTGAAATAGTGTCAACTTAGCCAAGTCACACTGGCCATCTTACCTATTTATATAAAAGCCAAGCGACCAGGATGCTGGGACGATCGGTCACTATGACGCATACTTCGGTGGCCAACCAGCCTCGATCGGCCCCCCGCAATCTCCCGCGGCCCCTTCCCCCAGCCAACCCAGCCCCCGATCGGTTCCCACCACCATGATCAGGGGCAGGGCCAGCCAGCCAACCTCCTGAGTCCCCTGCCCCCACCAGCCCAGGCCCGACTGGCCCCTATCAGGGATGGACGGACGGACCCCACCCATGCACGAATTCGTGCACTGGGCCTCTAGTCTATATAATAAAGCCTAAGCAACCATTATGGTGAAACAACCAGAATGACCGGTTGCTGTGATACGCACTGACCACCAGGGGGCAGATGCTCAACGCAGGAGCTGCCCCCTGGTGGTCAGTGTGCTCCCACAGGGGGAGCACCACTTAGCCTGAAGCTGGGCTCATGGCTGGCAAGTGCAGCGGTGGTGGCGGGAGCCCCTCCCGCCTCCGTGGCAGCACAAAGGAGCAGCGAGCTGAGTGGTAAGGAGCAGCAAGCAGGTGGGTGGTAAGGAGTGAGGGGTCCCAGACTGCAAGAGGGCGTAGGCCAGGCTGAAGGACCTCCCCCTGCAGCACATGAATTTCGTGGGCCTCTAGTGCAGATCATAAACTTTAATCGGCCGTTGAATGCCTTTGTAAAAAAAAAAAAAAAAGGAAAACATATGCTTGTGGTAAGGGAGTGCATAATTAAAGAGGTAAAAGTTTAGGAAATTCTAGGTTACAGCCTAATTTTTCTGGAGGTAAGAGACTGCCTTAGATAATTCTTTGAGGACTCCATTAGTTCTGAGATACTAAGAGCATTTTTGATGCTCTTTGGATTTTACACCACAGGGCCATCCGTGCTAAAAGAAAAAGGTCAACAGTCAACTCTCCCTGGACCGTTTTCCTGGGATATCACGCCCTACTCCTGACCATGTAGCTGGCTGGTTCTTCGATCATTTCTGTATTTCAGTGAATGGATTTTTGTGCCGCTCAATTTCCAGGTGTCTTGCAACTATAGGTAGAACCACATCTGCTTGAGTGCCCTATGGTGTAAGCTAATGTCTTGGGGGTGGGGGTGGGGGACACCTGTGCCACTGTAAGAAGAAAACTCAGGTGGATCCTGGGACCGTGTGGGGGGCTCCTGCTCACCAGTATTTCCTAGGTCTCCACCTTGGGAAATGACAGACTTTGTTAAGGCTCTCATTTGGGTAGAAAAAGCCCCTCCCCTGGGGGCTGCTAGGCCAGGGGTGGGGGTGCAGCAGTGGTCTGAGACAGGGAAGACTGGTGTCTTGGGGACTTTGTCTAGCCTACTGGGGGGTGGCCAGTGGCCTGTCCAAAGTGTGGGCTACCTGGTGATGAACCAGATGCAAGGGCAGGACTGTCTTCTGAGAGATGTCTCCCCCTTGATTCTTCTGTCGCTTCAGACATTCGAGGTGGAAGGAGGCCCTCCGACCTGCAAAGGAGCCAAAGAACCGGCATCAGAGCCGGGAAAGGAGACGGGGTCTGTGCCAATTCGGGCCCATGGAGGGAAGAGGTCTGGACACACCTCCTCTTTACCCTTCATCTTTCTCTGATGCATACCATGCAGCTTACGTCCAAGTCCGATGCCAACAAGCCCTGCCCTTGGATTCCCTCTCCGCGCTTTGGAAATCTGCCCAGCCCACTGCGTGGGGTTGTTAGAGCCAGGCCGCCATTGTTTCTGTCACCCTGAGTGCCTGACCAGTCATCTGAGGTGCCCACTGGCTGACACATCTGAGAGCGAGGCGCGTGGGCTTACCCAGGGAGGCTGAGCGGAGGAAGCCCCTCTTTGGAGATTGCCGGGTGTCCCTCCTGTCCTCTGGCGGTGCCAACTGTCGGCTTTCCTCATCCTGGTAGGAGAGCCTGGAACAGAGAACTCCTGGGGCTTGCTCCTGGAGGCTGAGACATGCACCCCACAGGGACAGCTGCCACCCCAGAAGGCAGTTTCCTTTGCGCCTCAGGGAAGGGAGCCCCCACTTTGTGCTCCCAGGAGATTTGGGGAGGGGCAGCTGGGATGCTCTGAGCCCCACACCTCTGATCAGAGGCAGTGAGGGCGCTCTTGGGTCAAAGTTATCAAGAAAATTGGGAAAAAATTCTAGGCCCACAAGGTTCTTTCCAGGCATGGCCCGGGCTCCTCTCTTTCACATGCTGATGCTCTTTACCAGGACCAGTCCCCACTTCACCCCAACTCCCCACCCCTTTCTCCCTGGCCTGCCCTCCCCTGCATCAGCACAGGCTCTACACAATCACCCCGCGCACAGCAGAGCTGTCACAGACACGGGGCATCAAGTCAGTGGTTCCTAAGCCTTTCTGATGGGACTCACAGGTACACACACACACACACACACACACACACACACGACTGAACTAAACATCATGAACCACACTCACCATCATGCGCCGCACTAAGACACTTCCCATTCTACTTTAGTCCATTCTATTTCTTTTAAAATGTCAGTTGCAGTCCACTAAGTTGATTTCACTACCCCTGGTGGACACAACTGTCGCTCTGAGGTTGCATTCCAACCCCATCCTTTTACTGAGGAGGCCACCGACTCTGCTCCTCTGGGACTCGCGTCCTCAGAAGGCAGAGACCAAGTGCCTTTCTGCTCCTAGCCCCTGACTTCCAGCATCTGCAGATGTTCAGGCAAGTTTTTGAACCAAAACCTCTAAGCCAATGGTTCTCAGCCTTCCTAATGCCGCGACCCTTTCATACAGTTCCTCATGTTGTGGTGACCCCAACCATAAAATTATTTTCGTTGCTACTTCATAACTGTAATTTTGCTACTGTGATGAATCGTAATGTAAATATCTGATATGCAGGATGTATTTTCATTGTTACAAATTGAACATAATTAAAGCATAGTGATTAATCACAAAAACAATATGTAATTATATATGTGTTTTCCGATGGTCTTAGGCGACCCCTGTGAAAGGGTCATTCGACCCCCAAAGGGGATGCGACCCACAGGTTGAGAACCGCTGCTCTAAGCCTTTCCTCTCGTTCTCAGCTTGGTAAGCCCTCCTTATTATAACTTCTTTTAAACAAATCGTACCCATTCTTGAGGACCCAGCTTCTGTTTGACCTTGTGCCTGGCGCCTGTTATAGCCACCTTGACTTGGACCTTTTCAGAATGCCTGTATCCCTCACAGTTGTACCACTCTGTGAGTAATTAGTTAGAAAATCTCTGTCATTTTCCTCTTCGGAGATCATCTTAGGTTCCTAACGAGTTTGCAGACTCTCCTTGAGTGTGGAAGCCAGTTTAACCATGATTTAGCAGAGCACTCCATAAGAGCCAGAATGGATGGAACATACGCTTTTCCTGATTTCCAAACTATGTGACCATGTACTGTATTAATTTGCATTCTCTAAAAATCTAAAGGCTAAAACGGCTGGCCCTTCCTTTTTATAAAGTGCTTTCAGGAAAGCCTTTAAAACAATGCACCTTAAACTTTTTGAATGCAACCCACACTCATAAATACATTTTATGGGACTCTGCAAACACATACGTTGGCAATTAAGCAAATGTTTCACAAAATGATACTTACCTTTGTGACACTGGATGTTATTTTATGTCCTCTTATTTTATCCTAGTCTGTGCTATCATGTGCTATGCTTTCTTTTAAAAGTGCTGATCATAACGAAGTAAATGTCACAACCTCCTAATTGGTCTAGATCTGCAGTTAAAAAACCCTTAAAAAATTCCAGCGCTGTCAAATGTCTCAGCCACCATTTGCGAACAGTGCCCTCTGCTGGCAGCTTTATTATAAGTAGTTTCACAAACGTTTGTTTACTGGTCAATATGTGTATGTGTGTAACTGAGTCTCACTATAAAATATATTTATTCGTTGTTTAGAAGTTTTTTTCTGAAAGCACTGTATTGTGAGGAAGGGACAAGCTAACCAGAGGATTGTGTGTGTCTGTGTGGGTCTGAGGCTTCTTCTGTCCCTAACGAGGTGACAGCTGCCTTGCAGGAGCTCTTCTGACATGTGACCTCTTTCCCCTTCCAGATCTCTCCCAGAGGAGGGGCCCCAGGGCCTGCCTTTCACCCAGACCCCTCTACACACGCGGGCCCGCGGGGCGGAGGCCACAGGGCTCACTTGTCTGTGGAGACCAAGCTGGGCTCACTGCAGTACTCCGCGTCGTCACCCATCTGCACGTCATAGGTCTCGTCCTGAGAAAACTCCTCCCGACACACCATGGCTATCTGGCTCTCCCGGGAGTGGCACCTAAAGTGTCCAAGATGGAGAAAAAATCAGAAACTGCCCGCCCCCTCCCCTTCCTCAGCAGGACGGCGTCACACGCATGTGTGCACGCGCTCACACACAGCAGCCAGGCCCCGCCGGCGACCGATCGCGGAGAAAGCACAGGACTGGGGTTGAGGTTCCATGTGGGAAGAGGGTTAGGACCGGGGAGACCTGAGTTCTGACCCCATTCAATTACCCTCTGGCATCAGTGACTGAGGCCAATCCAAGCCTCAGGATCCCATCAATAAAACTGGAATAACTTATGCCCAGCCTGACCCAGAGGCTTGTTGTGAATAGCAAATGAAGCAACACACGAGATGGTGCTTGGGAAGGAGTTGAGGATCAGCCTTTAAGGAAGGGTCCTGGGCTGCACTGATGGAGGGGGGTGGCCGTGGAGCGTGCGGCCCCTTCCCTTCACTAGAGGCAGTTGGGCCTTTGGGCATTTGTTGGGCAGAGCTGAGAGGTCCTGGTGTCATGTTTGGCATTGGCTCCCTGGAGTGCAGGTATGGAGAAGGCTCAGAGAGCGGTTTCGTGCTTCTAAGCCAGTGATGGTGAACCTATGACACGTGTGTCAGAGGTGACACGCGAACTCATTTTTTTTGGTTGATTTTTCTTTGTTAAATGGCATTTAAATATATAAAATAAATATCAAAAATGTAAGTCTTTGTTTTACTGTGGTTGCAAATATCAAAACATTTCTATATGTGACACGGCACCAGAGTTAAGTTAGGGTTTTTTAAAATGCTGGCACGCCGAGCTCAAAAGGTTCGCCATCACTGGTCTAAGCAGAGGGGAGTGTGCCTGAGGCCTGATGAGCTGAGTCTCCATGGAGCTGGCAGCACACGTCCCTGCCACGCCACATGGGCCTGGGATCCTACCGCCTTCCCTTGGCCCGTCTTCTGCTCACCTCCTCGCACTGTCCTTAGCTCCCTTTCCTGCCTGTGCTGGGCCCAGCAGCCCTCCATCATTCTTCCTCTAGACCCAGAAAGCCAGGGCCCGCGTTATCCTCAGACTCATGAGGCGTCAGAGAAACATCCCCCTTCATCCTCAGAACTGAGTGCTGGGACTGAGTGCAGTTGTCTGGGGGAGGCCTTTACTGGTGGCTGCCCACCCCACAGTCCCAGGCTCTGAATGGGGTGGGAAGAGAGGGACAGGTAGGGAGCTTTGGCGAGGCACACGGGATGCGCTGGACACAGGGAATGGCAGCAGGCAGGCAACACCACTCCTCGGAGGCTGCTGTGTGCAAGGTGCGCTGGTCTAGCCCCAGCAAAAGCAAGGCCAGTGCTGGAGCCACCTCAGCCCCGAGCTGTGACACAAAGGACAAGGTCCCAGAGCTGGAACTTTGGTTAAGTTGTCCCTCTTCACAATTTGAAACTTACTGTCCTGGCTGTTGTTTTTTCCCAACTGTGATGGGAGGTGGGAGCTGAGATTTAGAGAGCGCTTACTATGTGCTAGGCGCTGTGATCCTGTTTCCCTAACAGATGGATCTGTGAGGAGAGGAAGAAATCCCCAATGTCCCTCCCTACCTCCTCTCTAAAGTGATTTTTACCTTCCTTACTTAATACAGAACAAAGTCTCATATGAAAATTCCCTTTGAAGGAGGGGTTAGTTTACACTGAGACGCTAGTGATGGACAAAGCAAGCCTTCCTTAGAGGATAAGGGGAGCAGGGAGAAGATGGTACTAGGACTGAGTCCCTGAAGGACATAGAAAGCGGGGAGGGTTGCAGAAAAGGGAGGGGCTGCCAAGACAGCTTGGGCCAGCCACCTGGACGCTGACATCCTTCTGTGCAAACCAGCCTTTCTGATCAGCACACCAAACCAGGGCTCACGCACGGCCCTGCGGCTAGAAGGCACCAATGTGGGTGGGCAGGACGCGCTCAGCACTGCTTGGGTGGTGAGCCAACTAATCTTAGGCAGCAATGTAGATGGATGGCCGGCTTGACTTGTCTGCCATCATCACTGGTAAGTGGCCAGGCCATATGGACATACAAGTGTGCCACTGGTTCCTTGAAGGAAAGCAACTCAGGACACATGCCCATGGATTGAGAAAGACGCTGGGACATTTCAATTTTTCTGAGCTCAAGGGCAGAAAAGGAGACTGGCCCAAGAACCTGGCATGCTGGGATTTGCCGCCCGGCTCTGGGAGAGCAGTGCAGCTAAGGGTGAGGTGGCAAGGTGTAGATGGGCGGCCTCTCCTACTGGCCTGGGGAGCCAGAGCTGCCCACATAGGCAGGCAGACCCTCTAGGCCAGGCTGTGCTCCCGGAGGCCCAGAGCATGGCAGCAAGGAGCAGGGTATCCCAGCACTGCGCCCTGGAGCACCAGGGAGCAGAGCACAGGGAGAAAGAGCCAGTCAGGAGGTGGGAGGCACAGTCAAGACCAGGAATGACGCTACCCTGGGACAGATGAGCAACTGCTACAGCGAAGGGCCTCCTGCCACCAAGAGGGCCCTCCCTGGAGGGGTGAGAAGGGTAGAAAGAGGCGGCGGTAACTTCGTCCCCCTCCCACTTGGGAAACGGTGTCTGTAGTGTAGCCACAATGCAAACATCTTGGGGCTGAGAGGCCAGGGCCTCTGCATGGGCGGGGCTGGGCCCAGAGCACAGAGCAGGCTCTGCCAGAGGCGTGCTCCTCAGGACACTTGCTGGCAGTGAGGCCACGGGCCCTCCCTGAGCATGGCTGCCACATGTAGTCAGGGCAGGACCTGGGAGGTGGCCTGCACCCTGCTCTCTCCCTGGATCACGGGGCAGCAGAATCTACCCCAGTGTGAGGGGTGAGTGTAGTCCGGGGGCCAAACTCTCCTTCCCCAACCCCTCTGAGCTGGAGTGTGTGAGGCCCTGCAGCGCCCTGGGTGCCCCGCCCGCCTGCTTACCTCTTGGAGCTGAGCTTCCACGCTGCCTCCTGCACCCGGATGGCAGGAGACAAGGGGGGCCCATGGCCCTCCACAGCGCCGCTGACGGAGCTGGGGTAGCGGGTGGGGCGGGGAAAGCGGCCCAGGGCAGTGTTGTTGGCGTTGTTGATGTTGGCATTGGAGCCAGTGGATGAGTAGCTGCTGGGGGTGAAGGTGGAGTCCACCAGTTTCTCATGGGACGGGGACTCGGTGTCGCCTGGGCTGTTGGTGGCCTTGTTGATGTGCAGCGGGCGCTGAGTGGTGAAGGTCTGGGGGAAGGTGCTCCGGCTGTCGCTTTGGTAGTAGCTGACGTGGTTGCCGAACAGGCCACCAGCCCTCTGCAGGCAAGACAGGAGGGGTGGGTGGAGGAAGACGCCTCCGCGGCAACCTCGCCTCCGCAGCCACTGCAAGGGAAGTTGTCCGCCCTCCGAAAGCACAGCCACGCGGGGCAGCACGTGGTGGGCGGGGATTCTTCACCCACGTGGCCTGGCAGCTGGAGTGGCAGGGACCCATCAGTCCCCTCTGGAAGGGCTGGGGGAACAGTGAGGGACAGACATCCTGTGGGAGCCAGCCAGGCTGGGCAGCCGCTGCCCGGGTAGTTTCTAATGAGCCTGTTGGAAGACTGGGATTGAGTTCAAGGATGAGTCTAGGGCGCCCAGCCTCTCCTGCACCTGGGAGGGGTGGCAGCTGAGGCGCTGTGAGGTCTGAGGGGCGGGGAAGGGCCGGAGGCTCCAACAAGATTTAAAAATGGAACTCCATCTGGCTCACTGGGCTAGAAACTGTGTTAGCCAAAGGCTTTGAAAATAAAGATGATGGATTTACTACCTCTATTATATTATGGCCTCCTTTCCTGTGTGTGTGTGAGGAGGGGTGGC